CCAAAACCCCAAAACCCCAAAACCCCAAAACCCCAAAACCCCTTTTTGTGTTAATAGTGTTGAAAATATTAGAACTTTTGGTGTCATGGACGAATTTTTATTAAGAGGCTATACTTAGGGATTTATGTGCTAGGGGTTTGTTTTGGGTATAATGAGCAGATTTTTGAGGATAATTTTGCTTGAATTGAGGTATTTTGCTTTGGTAAGGATTTTGCAAAGAGAATCATAAAAATTATAAGAGTCTTGCCTACTTTAGATAACAATGAATGATCAGTTTTACATTAGGGAAGGTATAATAATAAATATTTATTTTAATTTTAATGAAGCAAAAATTGCTCAGTATAAGTCCGATTTAACGAGTACAGTTTCAAGATGAACATTTTATAAATTGTCACAAATTTTGGTGATACTGGAAGAGAATTGGTTATAAAAGTGATTATATATGGCTTAATTTTTTAAATGCTTGCGAGATATACTAATGGGGTTAAGATATCTGGTAATAATCCTCCTTTATCATTATCCTTGGTAATTCAATATTTAAAATTTTGATTTGCATCAAAACTTCACTCAAAAATAATTACATCTGCTCGAAATTGATTAAAATAAATGGTTTTTCATAATTTCCCAGAATGTGTGATTAAGGGTAAAAATCTTTGAGAGATAGTATAAGCAACGGATATAATGTCAGTATTATACTTTATGAAATAGAATTAGTTTTCCTATAACTCCGCACCCTCCCAAATCTTCTCAACGGCCTGTATCCATACATCTCCATTCCCTCAACACATATTTATAAAAACCTTGCTAAATACCCATTTATGCTACACATACAATATATAGATTTTTATTAAGAAAGCGAGATTTTAGGAGTGGTTTAAAATAGTTATTGTTTATAAGAGAAATATTTTTAAGAATTTGGAATATTTCTGAAACAAAGGATTTAATACCTGCTAAAGTTGCTAAGAGCTGGTATTTCTATGTATCCACAGACTATTACTGTTAGACCAGCATTTACCCTAATTTATGAGCTTTGTAGCATCCTGAAAGCAAGGTTTACACTGGCTCTGGGATAAAATGGTGAAATGAAATTAATTTAATTTTAGAGAAAGTATTTAAAGTAAATTTAACGTTCAAATCGATGTAAACCTTATACCCTCTTTTACAGAAATATCCACCAGTTGATGTATAATCTAGGAATCAAATTAGAAATCAAATTATTAGATAATTATTACTAAAGAGCAAATCAGGAGATCTCTGAAGAGTCATGGCTCTTTAAAATTGGAAGTTTAGCATCATGAACCTCTTTTTTCTGATAATTTCCTCCTATCGTAAAATTTAATGGAGCAGCTTCAAAAACTTTGAATTTTGATATCAAATTAGCCTTATTTCTCAGCAGGATAGGAGATAAGAATCTACGAGTATTATGGTTAGACTTCATAATTTTCGCTCGAACTTTGGAGACCATCGATTCATATTGATCTGGAAGCATATTATATTTCTGCTTCATTCTTTTCAATTTTCTCTCCTTTAGCAACTTTTTCCCTGAAGGGTTACTTCTAGTTACAGGTACAAAAGTTATTGCTTGGGATTGTAAATGATTTGCTTCCCCGATTTTTCTCTGGACTTGGGGACTAAAAGCTCTTCTCTGGTTTTTCTCTTGCTATTAAACCGTTAGATGGCTCTACAAAGCTAAAGCCTATCAAATATTCTATAAACCCTGATACCGAAACTTCATCAGAACTAAAATACCTTTAACTTGCGAATAGTGTTCATCATTTGATTTTGGAAATCCGGTGAGGCTCCAATCATCCTCCTCACACTACCCTCTTGTGCTGCTTTTTTCTTCTTGATAATACTATCACACAAAGCTTTGTAAGACCGGATGCTGAACTTTTTAGGAGTTTGTTCCATTTTATTACTATTATAGATTTAGTAGCGAGCCTTTTATGGGGTTTTGGGGTTTTGGGGTTTTGGGGTTTTGGGGTTTTGGGG